TCACTTTAGTGTGTGTTTTTTTCTTCATCCCTTTCTCAGGATTCGTCATGAGCGACTGGAAGTAGAACCAAACACTGGTAGTGACATGGATTTCAGTCAAATTGTAACAGAACACAAAACTGTTGATGAAAGAGCAAGAAACCAAAAAGACACAGTTAACTACAGAATAACAGAATCAGAAGAGAGCACTTTTGTAGATGATCCAGATGTTCCTCCACTCATATAAGAAATGGATGAACAAAGTTTTATTCTGTAAATAATGTACAAAATTAATGTTAATAAAACCGAATGCTATTTTTACCAACCGCCAGAATGTAATATTACCATTGCAGGCAGCCAAGGTTTGTTTAAACCCAGGTATAGCAAACAATATTTTTTGCCTCAATTTGTCACAGGAAAAAATAAACGATCCCCATTTTTGGATATTTTAGGGTATTTAAAGAATACCCTCAAAAATCCCAAATTTGGAAGAGTGAGACATGTCCCAACCAGGGAACTTGGTTGGGAATTCCCTGGTTGGGACTTGTCTCACTTTGCCAAATTTGGGATTTTTATGAGTATTCTTTAAATACCCTAAAATATCCAATAATGGGAACCTGTTATTTTTTCCTGTGGTGTCATGTGCACATGACCATGACATAATAATTATTTACCCCTGTAAAAACAAACACATAATTCCCTTGGCACCTCATAATAAGAGAGTTGCACTGTACAAACTAGGAGAGTAGCATCCAAATAATTACGCACATACGCCCATGTGTACGGTTGAAGTCTGGGAAAAAAATTTTTTTTTTCCTGTAAGCATTTTTATCATTAAATTGGGATGACTGCTAAATTTTGCAATGCATTGCATTGGTGTGTTTGTGTTTGTATTTTCTTCATCATTTATTATTCTATCAATGGATTGCAAGAAACAATATAGTGGGGTGAGAGATCCACTAGAGATAAAGCTCTCTTGCAATTCTGCACACACAAACACACAAGCACAAGGCTGTTGATATTGATGGCGTTGTAACAGAGTTTGCCTGTCTGAAGGGTAGACGTCTCACCCTTTTCTGGTAACCTATTTGATGGCATCATTGTTTTACCATTTTTCCCATAAACATTGTACCTTACCGATAACACTAGAGATGGGTTAAATAAAAAACTAACTACTGCAGAAAACGCAGGAAATAGTATTTCCAAAACCCTGAATTGAAAAATTTCCCGTGGGAATACCCCCTACTATGGAGTGCTTTCCGTTCTCTAACTAATTTTCTTCCTGTGTGCGTACACCTTCAAAATCTCATGCTACACCCCTGCAAACTTGTTATATTTTTTACAATGTTTGTAACACTTCAAATGTCCAACGTTCTACATCTACAGTTAAAAAGGCTGCTTTATTTAGCTGGTCATGTCCACTTTATTTTCCATGTCATATCATCAGAAATATAATTTTTGTTTGGTTACAACTAATAACTTCAAATTGTCTTACTGCTGGTTTAATGATCAGAGACATAACACAACAATAACGGTAATAGCATAAAGTGGAGTCCAATAAAAACAAAATCAGTTGTACGTGTAGCAGGAGTCCAATTTGTTTAATCCAATTGGTTTCATTACAGGCCAAATAGGGTTAGAAGAACTTTTGCTATATAGCTGGAAATTTTTTCCCCACAGCGCGCCCTCTCGTTGGTTACCTCAAGGTCACATGACATCTAACAATGAAACTGTTTCCCGCAAAAAACTCTGAGTGGGCAACATTGCCAAATCTATGACATCAGAGGGTAGGAGGGCTTGTAACCAGCGAATGTTGACCCACGAACACCATTACATCGAGGTTTAATGAATTTCCAGCTTCAAAAGTTCCACCTCGAGAAACATTGAGTTTCTTGGGGAACAAAATTAACTGTTTCCTTAATCATAACTAAACAAAATTTTGATACTTAAATCAACTTTTTTTGAAAAAAATTAAATCACAAGATCTTCTGAGAGTATTTCGCTAGATGTGACCAAAAAAAACATTCAAAAGCAAACAAGCAATAGCACCTACTGATGAAATCAGGCCTGCCAATGGCCAATCAGATGAGAGAATTTTGTTATAGTTATGATAAGAGGATTTCAGTGATCACAAATATTCTAAAATCAGTCTTAAAAGGAGATGTGTAACAAATTTTGGCTAACTGGCCACCAAACTGGCATGAGTGAAACCAAAATAAGTGTCAAAAACATTGAAGGAGGGTACATGGTTCGTACAACTTCAGACAAACAAATTTCAAGGATTTTTCAAGGACAAATTACAGTTTTCAAGGACTAAGATTTATTCAATAAACCGGCCTCCTTTAACCCCCCTTCTATTGGCTAAAACACATCATGCAGTCATTTACAATTTTCACTTCTTCAGCCATGGTTGATCACATTATTTTATACTACTTTCCGCAACAATGCTTTGGAAAATGACTGGGTATGACTTGCAATTGCATCTGAGGTACAGAAACAGCATTTAAAAAAAGAAACAGAAGTAAGATATTGCTCATGCACAAAAATGTTTTTAGACAAGGTAGTGAATTTCAAGGATTTTTCAAGACGTAATAAAGATCTCAAGTACTTTTTCGAGAACCTTAACCGAATTAAAGGACTTTTCAAGACAACAACTACATTTCAAGACCTTATTAAGATAGTACGAACCATGGGGTAAAATAACAAATGCAAAGGAAGGCAATTTAAATGTATTAAAATGGATTCCAATCAGGGGTTTTGAAAACTATTCAGCCTACGTTCATTGTTGTTGCTTTTCAAAGGTCATTGTTGTTTATAATGTAGTGCTTAATGTTTGTCATGAAGCTCAGGTTTTGTCATTTCTTTCTCAAGCACTTTGTGTAAACAACAATGAACTTACTAAAAAATGTTATAAGTGATTTCTTTCCTATCTGTAAAGTCTATAAAAAATGTACTTACTCCAACTAATAGAGCAGTTTTCACTTGACTGTCGAAAGGGATTGGTTTTGGTTTTGGTTTTGGTTTTACTACGCCCTTTGGTTGGCTAGTGTATTTACTTTGGTTTTGGTTTTACGACAGTCAAGTGAAAACCGCTNTCAGGACCAGTCATTAAGTGTTAAATGTTACCTTATTTAATCATAACTAACACAAAATTTTGATACTTAAATCAACTTTTTTTGAAAAAATTAAATCAAAAGATCTTCTGTGAGTATTTCGCTAGATGTGACAAAAAAAAACATTCAAAAGCAAACGAGCAATGGCACCTACTGATGAAATCAGGCCTGCCAATGGCCAATCAGATAAAATTTAGAGAATTTTCTTATAGTTATGACAAGCAGATTTCAGTGATTACAATATTATTCTAAAATCAGTCGTAAAAGGAGATGTGTAACAAATTTTGGCCATTTGGCCACCGAACTGAGTGAAACAAAAATACTGTCAAAAACATTGAAGGAGGGTACATGGTTTGTACAACTTCAGACAAACAAATTTCAAGGACTTTTCAAGGATTTTTCAAGGACAAATTACAGTTTTCAAGGACTAAGATTTATTCAATAAAAAAGGCCTTCTTTAACCCCCCTTATATTGGCTAAAACACGTCATGCAGTCATTTACAATTTTCACTTCTTCAGCCATGGTTGATCACATTATTTTATACTACTTTCCACAACAATGCTTTGGAAAATGACTGGGTATGACTTGCAATTGCATCTAAGGTACAGAAACAGCATTTAAAATAAAGAAACAGAACTGAGTAACATATTCCTCATGCATAAAAATGTTTTTACACAAGGTAGTGGATTTCAAGGATTTTCCGAGACCTAATAAAGAAATCAAGTACTTTTCAACAACCTTAACCGAATTCAAGGACTTTTCAAGACAACAACTACATTTCAAGACCTTATCAAGATAGTACGAACCATGGGGTAAAATAACAAATACAAAGGAAGGCAATTAAAACGTATTAAAATGGATTCCAATCAGGGGTTTTGAAAACTGTTCACCATAAGTTCATTGTTGTTGTTTTTCAAAGGTCATTGTTGTTTACACATAGTGCTTAATGTTTGTCATGAAGCTCAGGTTTTGTCATTACTTTCTCAAGCACTTTGTGTTAAACAACAATGAACTTACTTAAAAATGTTATAAGTGATTTCTTTCCTACCTGTAAGTTCTACAAAAAATGTACTTACTCCAACTAACCAACTAATAATAATATGTCTAGTTGAGCAACCTTGACAAGGTGCAAATTAACATCAACATGACATGAAATTGCCTAAAAAAGGTTGTGTTGTTGGTTCGACCCATATCTAAACAAAAGTCGCTCGTTGTTTAAAACAAATAAAGCCTTTGAGTGGCTGGAAGGCACTGATAAAGTTTAAAGCAATGTAATGTATGCCTTATTTTACTGTCTACTGGCAATAAATTTGGTTGACAATTCCTACCCAGGAAACCTCAATAAAACAGTGTCATTGGAACCTCATTGCAAGCCATGATACTCTTAGCAGTGACATTTCAATATCGGTCAAAAAAACAGTAACACAGGCAACAAAAAACGTGCTACTTGTTAAGCAAAATTGCTGCAAAATGACTTGAACAGCAATGCCGCACGTTTTACCACCCAGGAAAAAAAACCTTGCAACCTTATTTGATACAGGACAGGTTCGAATGTGGGTTGTAAAACGTGCAACTTGGCTGTTCAATTCATTTTGCAGCAATGTTGCAGACTTGCTTCAAACTTGTTATCAGGAAACTGGACCATACTTTCCATCCCTGTATTATTGACACATTTCTTCTCTGATTCATGGTTAAATACAAGCAACAGAGCTAACTGCCCAGGGCAAAACTTCTGCTTCTTCAGCAAACAATGTCTGAGTAAAAAATATTAACTAAGGCCTGGTTCAAGCATTGCATTTCACATGTGCCAAATCTAATGCTAATGGGAAAAAACTCTTGTTATTAGATTTGGCGCATGTGAAATGTGACGTCTGAACTGGGCCTAACTGTAAATGTCTAAGTAAGCATTAATCCAGTGAGTCCCCACTAAATCCTGCTGGCTGCAAAAGAAAAAAACAAAGACATTCATGAGAAACACATCTCCATTAAACAGAGACATTATCATGGAAACCATTGACCAACATTATCCTCTGGTCACCAGATCTGTTTCGTGCGTTAACCAGATAAATTATAGTTTTATGACCAATCAAAATAGCAGGAAATTCAAATGCCATATTTCCTTGAATGAACAAATGCCTGGGTGCTTATTTAAGATTTATGTCAAAAGGAGGGATGCTTATTGGAAGGAGGGCGCTTAATCGGGGGAGGGGGTGGGGGCGCAATTATTAAGTTTTCCTTTGAACGAAGTGTAAATTTGTTTTGGCTAATTATAAATATTAATAGTCTTTCCCTTGTCAATATAGTCTTTCTTTATGAAGCGTACCGTAGTTAGTCCCCATGCACTTTACGCAGTTTACACACTAATGTATCAGTATGCATGTTTATAAAATATTGATTATCTCATCATCCTTGAGATCATCCTTGCAGGTGGCAGGTGGGGTAGGGGTGGGGTAGGGGTGGGGTGGGGTGGGGGGGGTGCTTTTACTTGAGAGGGGCATTTGCCTAGTGGGTGGGTGCTTATTTGGGCGAGAAGATTTATTCAAGGAAATAAGGTGCTTTTGGAACTGGTTGGTAAGGGCACACTCTTGATAACCAAGGGTTCTTGACCGTTTCGCCCAACAATAATTTGCCTGTGTATAAATAATTATCCTGCTACTGTTGGCTTGCTGAGGGTTTCCAAATTATAACAACAAGACCTATGAGGGTTAACCATTAGATGGCAAATGTAGTAAAATTAATAAATATCATTAATTTATGGTAAGAAAAGTGGACATCTCACAGAATGACACCACGCCAATTTCTACACGAAGAATATTGTCGTAACTTAGAAGCTAAACAAGTGAGTTTGTGTTTTCACTTACGTGTACTTGCTGGACCATAGGGTTAGAGGCCATGGAGGAAAGTTTTTCTAGAAGCTTTTGGAAAGGCTCGTCATCAAGAGTGCTACGAAAGAGCTGCAAAAGCTGTTGTGGTTGACCACACACCGTGACAGCATTAATTAGGTGATTGATACCTTCATCAGTTTCACCTGCAGAAAGACATGTAGAGACCCTTGTTTAGTGATATATGCATTTCATTAAAGGGGCTATATCACAACGATATTGTTATTTTCCTCTGTAGGTCAATTTTCCACTGAAGTCCTCACTTAGTGCCTTTATACACGACTAACACGACACCAGCATATACAGGACAAAGGTCACACATCACCTATGGTATGTTAATTACTTTACACCCTTTCCTCGTAATGTGAGTTTGGACAGCCACTGCTGTTAAAGCAGGGCTGTTCTGTGGAACAATTTACCCTCTGATATGAGACAAGCAAAATCTTTGACAAGCTTTTGGCAACCGCTAACTTTCAACCCAAACACACCATTAAGAGAGAATGAGCTAAGAGAGCAAATGTCCCATGATAATTATTTAAAATCTATTACTTTTTACGTTTGCACGTATGCTGCAAAAAAGTATATAATGTATTTAGTTATATTTGTATTATAAGCCTGATCTTTATCCCTGTACAAATTGAAGTGAAAACAAAAGATTCCATTTAGGGCAAGCTCAACTAAAATTAAATACCCTCAGAGAGACAAAAAACATACTCTGTGTAGTGGTATAAATAAAAAAATTATAATGATTTAGAGGTAGCACATCCACATAGTGGTTTTTCATCTACCATTCCTGGTCGAACTGGAATCTGAAAATGTTGGTTTTTAATAAGAGAGGAAACTTGGACTAATCAGAGAATAACTTCTCGATGCAAGGGAGAGAACCATCTAAAAAGTCATGCCACATGTCACTAGCTTCAACACCTAGTCAACTGGCGGGAGGTGAGTGCTTTGCACAGCCCTTGCTCCTTTTTATATCCCCCTAATGGCCAACAAAGGAAGTGCCCTCCCACCCAAAAACGAATGGTGAAAACAGACCTTGATGAATAAGATCTTCTCCTATCTGAATTTCCTCCATGAAAAACTGCTGAACAGCAGCTGCATCATTTCTGTCTGGAATTCGATTCTGCAGCAGCAACAAGCACAATGTTAGACCTTGTAAACAATAGCCTGAGAGCAAGGTCTCCAGAGCACTCTGGTGGCAGGGTGGGAAAAGGAAGGAGAGCTTGTGACTATGTCTCTGGAATTTGAATTCCACCTCCAATTCCCCTGTGGCTCCCCGTCGACTGAACTGCCAAATTTCTGCCAATCAGCGCAAAGCAGAAATGAGCATAAATGTCAACAAACATTTCAAAACATGTGCCAAGGGTAAGGACGTCATTACTAATATCATCTCCACCAATCAGCATTTCGCACTGACTTTTTTGATGCAGATACCGTATTTATTCGAATAAGCGCCCAACCTCGAATTAGCGCCCACCTCGAATAAGCGCCCATCCTAATGGAAGAAAAAGTTAATAAGCGCCCAGCCTCGAATAAGCGCCCAGCCCCTCCTCCTCCCAATCAAATTCCATTAAGCGCTCACCCCCACCCCACCCACTTGAGTGAATAAATTTTAATAAGAGACTTTCCCGAGGACGGAGGTTTCTTGAGAGTATTTTACAGAAACTTTGCTTTGTTACTTCTTCGTGTTTTGTTATTAGAATGTATTGTTTTGTTGCAATATAAACATACTTCACTTCCTGAAAATGGTGAAAATTTAATAAGCGCCCAGCCTCGAATAAACGCCCACCTCGAATAAGCGCCCACTCTCAAGGTCCAAAAATTTAATAAGCGCCCAGGGCGGTTAATCGAATAAATACGGTATTCAAATTCCAGAGACATAGTTGCAAGCTCTCCTTCCTTTTCCTGCTCTGTCGCCAGAGTTTCCTGGAGAGCTTGCTCGCAGGCTATGTAAATAAACATGTCGCTGACACCGAGAATGCAAAAATAATCTTGACACATGCATCACACTTCTTGGTACATTTCTTGTCTTGAATGGAAGATATGACCACATGGTGAGAAATCTTCCTTCCTCTCCTTGAACCTACATGCCATCCCTAGTAATTAAACTCCAAGAACATTGGCCAGCATTTTATTTTGAAAAATCATGTGTGGTTAATCATTGTGTCAGATGAAATTTAAAAAATGCAACTTCACTTTCTGAGACATCACTGACATCATCATCATTGTGATTGCTTAAACACCCCATGGATCAAAGGATGCCTACCCTTTTGTTTGTACTAGTTATAATGCAATATTAGTATGTCTCATTAAATGGTGACAAGTGAAAATTATTAGGATTTGGACGAAACACAAGTGAAGTTATTCGCTAATTTCAAGAGTATACCATTTGATTACCTATCAATATCATTTTTGTCCTGCTGATATTTTTAATTCACAGTGAAATGAATTTCTTGTAAAAATAACTCCATGACAGTTACAATCAATAAGAGTTGAACGTTTCCAAGCCGCTATGTTGTTTTCAGCTGAAATACGGTAAGAATGTTACGTATGTGGAATTATAGTGTACCCATATATCCACAGTTGTGGCCTGGTACAAGCAACGTGGCAGCTTGACTCGTGTTTATGTTTCGTGTTTCATGGTAGTTATCGGGAGAAAATTAAGTTTTGACATAATCAGTGCAGTTATGGACAGATAGCTGTCCAGGCTACATTCTTGGTCAGATAGCTTTATATCTCCAGAAAGTAATTTGTGGAAAAAAAATTTATGGTACATGTACGGTTGCTTTTCTGGTATCAGGAGCGGAAGTAGTACAATTTTTGACCATAAAAGAGTCCATGCCATGCATTTTTTATTCGTGTTTAAAAATTAAATGAAAAAAAAGGAGGGGAAATTTTACAATTTAGGCGACCACTATTTGCCCTCTGGCAACCAAAAATTTATACTTGATTGCCAGTTGGCACCTGTATAAAAAGTTAATTTCGAACCCTGCTGGGTGTGCAAATTACATTCACAATCTCAGGCTATTGACATTGTTCATCAAATTTATTATAGATTGAGAACCATAATAAATATTCATCAACCAATTATAGTTATAATATCTCTATTGGAGTCGGGGGTTTAAAACACCAGGATTTTAGTGTCTAATACCTGTGATTGGTGGTTTGTGGAGATTAAATTATGTAACATTCTGAGTGAAAAATTCCCTTGGGAGCTAGAATCAGAAGTAACCAAATAGAAAATGAAACCTGCTGACAATTTGTGAAAACACATGTGTACTACAGAGTTTATAAAATATAAATAGTAGAGACTTCATATACTTTCAACCCGAACTAATTCTTATAGCTAGAATTTTTAAGAGTTTACCTACCCTTAATTCTTCCATAGAAGATTCTTGTTGTGCTTGCTTTGCTTTGCGCCGTCCTGAAAAAAAAAATTAGTTATCGACAAGTTTTTGCTCTGACTTTGATAGTCATTTAATGATCAACTTTCTGAAGTTGACATCTTTGTAAGCTGACATCCTTGTAATTCAAAAACTTTGCAGACACTTGCAGACCTCACTTTCACTCAGTCTGCATTTTTCATTAAATTGTTGCTTTACCAATGAAATCATTGCATTTCAAGACTTGTTTTCTGAGGTAACCCTACTATCACGCATTGACATCAGAAACAAAACGTAAAAGGGAACAACTATAATAAGCAAGACAAAAACTCTGAAGTACATGCAGCACACTTTTGAGCAGATTTTGTTTGCTGTCATCACACAACTTACGTTGTCAAACTTGACCAGAATGGGAATGTGATTGTCTCCTTAATCTTTAAGGTAATTGTTTCATCAAATGTGGAGAACATGGTGACTTGGATTTTCATCAGAAATACCCATAGCAAGTCTTAACTATTGGCCAGCAAGCAGCCATTATATCAAATGTCTGCATCAATCTGATGTTGAGGCACCAGGTAGATTGCTCAGTGGCTCAGCTCACTGAAGAAAACTGTGCAAGACAGTGGAGAGCACTCACAATTTTGGCAAGTTAAAGAAATTACTTTCAAGATAAATCATAAAGAATGAGAATTTAGCCTTGAATTTACCTGTTTTAGACAATTTTGAAAGCATATTTTTATTGAAGTTCGACCTTTAAGCTGGTTTCCAGCTTAAATGTGCATTTAGAAAATTATTCATTACCAAAGATTTAACAATATTCCACTAATGCGCGTTGGCTATAATCATATCTTATTATATAAACACCAATGAAATACCAGGTGAGCTTTCACGCAAAACCTTGATATCTTCATATGTGAAAATAACATATGTTAGCTTCACATGTGAAAATATCACCATTGCTATGGCTACATAATAAATCGCACCTTTCACACCAAAAAACTATTAAAGTCAAATGGTTTGGTAGTTCATTGGTGTTTATATAATAAATACAACATTATGTGGCAGCTTGGGGATAAGAAATTTCTCTTCTTGAGTTGAAAAAATATTTCACTCGTTCGCTGTGCTCACTCGTGAAATATTTTTCAACACTCGCAGAGAAATTTCGTATCGCCGCATGCCTGAGTGGAATAATTGTTTTATTAAAAACGCCCACAAAGTATGGAGAATTCTTCCCGACTTTGTTTGTAAAAACAACCAATTTTCAGCTTGTTTTTAATTTTGAGTAGACACCTACAGTTACCATATTTGGAGAGCATGGCATAATGGCTCATATACCATGGTGGCTAAGCCAATCAGATCTCTAGAATTGCTCTAGAATTATCCAATGATTCAGTTTTTAATATTTCATTAAAATTAGCGTGTAGTCAGCTCATTTTTATCATGTGAGCGTCATTGACAGATTAGAAAAGAAGACATAAAATGCATGTCACTCAGGCAAACCAAGGACATTACATCACCAGGCCGGCGCTTGAAGGTGAAACTGTGCAAAAATCTGCGTCACTGTTTCTTCCAAAATGATATTAGAAGGTATGTAAAATACTATAGACATCTACAACATTACATGTACAACTGGAGAACTTCATGCTATATAGCAAATATTTATGACCTTACTTTCGCGTAATTTTTGCTTGAACAGTGGGTCGCTCCTTCGTTTCCTGTCAAAGTAGATGCAGTACCCGAGAAAAAATGTGCCACATATGCCAGCTACAATCCCTGCTATTAATCTAGAACTCATTTTTAAGACCGTTGTCAAAGTAGAAAACAAGAATACACTGCACAGAACAAGACGAAAATTGCAGCTAATACGATCACGTTGCGCTGACTGCGCGGCTGCTCAGTCGGAGTCTCCTTTGCGCGATTGTCGAGGGACAAAGGATAGGAGGGGGTGTATGGTGCAGGGCGGATAAAGGTTTATCCGCCCTGGTATGGTGCTTTGGACATCCGTGCGACATAATAAAGGATTTGAATGGGAATTCAGGTAAAAGATTCAAGAAGATAAATACTAGAATTTTTAATAAAATACACCAAGAGCCATAGTGGCTTTTGAATACACCTTATCTTATTTACTTTGATTGTTTTTCTTTGCTGTGATGGAAACTCGGGGTTAAAGGGATTCGCTTAATCGACAAGCTTAATCGACAAGCATCATCTTCGGAGTCGAAGTGAGTTGTACCACGTCAGTTGATGGTATTAAATTCTGGTTATTGACCTGATTGGTCAATTAAGTGGCGTTGTTATTGGTCTTCTGTCAGTAAAGCCGCGATGAATATATGATTGAAGTCGGTATTAATGAAACAGGCACAAAAATCATATATTTTAATAATTAGATCGTTTCAGAAGTGCGGTTTATTCCGGGGAATACTCATGAAAGTTTTATATGGGGAGGTTCCGCCCCGAGGTCCAAACCCTTACCCTTTATATACAATTTTTAACAGAAAAGGTACCCCTTTCAGACATCTTCTATTGACAAATGATACCTATTTCACATACCTAGTTGAAAACTTTGCATCCCTTTAACTGCTGTTTGTTGATGCACTGTCTCCTAAATATGAATAAATCACAAAACCAACGTTTTCTTGACATTTTTACTGCCATACTAGTGCATCTGTTGGCCCTTTTAACGGATTTTTACAAACCGAAATGACAGATTTTCCTACCCTTTCTTATACTTCTGCCATTTAGTGAAATCCCTGCCTTTTCATACACCTGAAGCCTGAAAAAGGTACCCTCTCGGGCGGAGCCTCCCCGCACAGGCCAATATAGGTAGTACTCCCTCGCGGGGAGTTTATCAAATAGTTGGAGAAGGAAGCGCACCCGGGGAGGGTACTTGGGTTAATGTTTGCTAGGTAAGTGCCGCTGGCCTCTCAGAGCCCCTACCCCAACAGTAGTCTATTTTTCATATGTAGCTAATTATAGACCCCGTCTTAGTCACTTTTATGAAAATGTAATTTTCGTGATTCCAACTTAGTCATTATCTATTTACCTTGTCAATGTGGTTTCAGGAACGGAATGGAATGCGGCAGGAGCCCATTAGAATGCGGTCAATGCGAGCTTATTGTTAAATTTAATAAACAACAACTTTCTGATTTTTTTAACCGAGAATCTTCCCATTTTGAATCCTTGTTTACCCCAAAGATCCGAAAATTTGCGACCCCATTCTAGTAACTCTGTTGAAATGCGACTCCACCATAATCACCCCAGTCGTGAAAATGCAACCCCATCCAGCGGCACATCCCCATTAGCCTCTTGTAAGGGAGTACCTCCCCTGGGGAAGCGCAGAATTGAGAATTCTGGCGCTGTCTGAGGCATCTCACAACAACAACACCAAAAGCTTTATTTGCATGACCATAAAGAAATTACAGTATTGCAAAAGCTGTTAGTCTAAATTTAAGTACTAATTTGACTAATATGTACGTGCAAAACATTATAAAACGTTATAGTTCTCATTCATTCATTCATTGATATTAATTTGGTTCTTAATTCAAAGTTTTGCCAGATAAATGAAACTAATTGACAGTTAATTAAATAATCAGAAGAATTCATAAGAAGAGATATTAAAGTATCCACACTTTCACTAAACTTCAGTCCATAAAATCAAAGATCAAACCTCTTTTTATACAGAGAGATCTGAGAATAAGCCTTACAATCTAGTAAGAAATGATTTTCATCTTCGATTTTGTTACTTGTACAAAAGCATCTCAGTATGTCCTCATTCGTGACGTTATGAGACCGGTTCACGCGGACGTTGACCTCAGCTTCGTCACGCGTTACTCTGTCAAGAAAAACGTGGGCGTGACGAATGAAGCCGTGACGACGCTAAAAGAACACGCTGCCTGATTTGGACCGGACATTGTGACGTCACGTGCGCGAAATTTGGACTTTCGTCCTGCAGGAGCCGATTACTCCTGCGTCCGAAAAGAGATCGGCCTTTTGAAAGCATTATACGCCTAAATAACTGTTAAAACTGTTATTTAATCTACGCTTAGACTGTTCACAGTCCCCTATTTTTTCGTGAGATCGTTGAGATATAGCGCGTGTTACCGTTAATGACCGAGGGGGCGGGCGTCGGGGATTATACCTCTAGGGGGAGGTGGGCGAGAAACTATTTTACTCGCTTCCTCCCAAACCGCCCCCTACCCCTAAGTAGTTTTGACACTTACGCAAGATGGCAGCCCGAAACGCAAAGCCCTCGATCTCGACGATCTTACGGAAAAATAGAGGACTGTGAACAGTCTAATCTACGCTTGCCATTTGTCAGCAAAAAAGAAACACTCGAGATAAAATAAAACAAAACAAAAAATACATCCGTATACTGTCTATAGCGCTGTCAAGTTCTTTTCACGATTATTTCAATCGATAACCAATCGCACGTGATCGCTTTCTACGTTTGGACCCTCGCTCAGTGGACTTCAGTGTTGTAAAGAAAGTTCAGTCTAATTTCATGAGCGTCGTGTCACGCCTAAAAGTGTGCGAGGAAAATTAACCAGTACACTTGTGATACAAAAACAGAGCGGAACTCAGTTTCAGCAGCCAGGGTAAATATCTTTGCTTTCTTCATTTCTACAAGTTTCATTCTGAAAAGAAGATTTAAGGAAAAAGATGGGAGCATGCATACTGCTTTTGTAAGGGATACATTTCCTATAGAGGTGCTTTGAAGTCTGTGATTATATTTTTTAACTTTTATTTCCAGACAATTTTTCTCCCACGTGTAGTCGCTATAGGCCATAGCATTAACTTTTTCAGAATTCAAGATATTTAGCATGTTTAGGTACTCAAAATTGTCCAAATTTGCCTTGTACGCGCTTTGAGCAACTGAGGCGAAGGCCAAAGGCATGCTGGGTATTGGGGATGCCATTGGGGATTTCGATGATCACGTGGTAACTTAACACAAAAGTGCTGCGCTTGCGTTCAATTCTTCGGTTTGTACGGAAGGGACGTTCGAAGATATTACATCATTAACAAGCAATTCCCTGCTTTAAAATGTATTCCTTTGTGGTCTTTTATCATGACAGAACGTATTTTCTAAACGTTTTTGCCAAAAAGAGAGGAATTTAGAGAACCTGGATCGCTTTTACGGCCAAGAAATTGCTAACACACTGCGAAAGCGTAGAGGAGATTCCCCTCTTCAATACAGGTATGAGCCGAATTCGCGAAATCAATCGTCTTTTAATTGTACTTGCTTTTAGTCTTCTCGTTATTAATTATTTCGTTTGGTTGACCTATTTGAAAACTTACCTCGTAAATGAAATGTTCTTGACAAGCTATACTCCTTTTATGGCCAGTGTAAAACAGAGACACATTGGCGCTGATCATCTAAAATGTTTCACCGCGTTCCAATATTTTGTTGAGCCTCTTTTCGGAAGTTCCGAACATTTTTTTTTGCGAGTAGGAATTTGCCTGTACCTGCGAAGAATATTTAGCGTTTCTCATACAGGTTAAAAAAGTAAAAAATAAACGTGCGAGTGCGAATTTCACAAAAGTATTCGCCGCTTCGAAGAAAACAGTCGATGGGTGGTTGTAAATTAAATATGGCCGTCAATATATCTTCCTGTGTATGAACGTCATTGCTTTTATTTTAGAAATTTTCCTTTTTTCGTTTGGATTTGATATAGTTTGTTTCACCACGTAAGATCAACATAGAAAGATGTTATTTTAAAACTGAAATTTGCAGAATTGCCTCTTTTAGATCGTTACATTTCTTTTTTCCTGCAATTTTTATGTCGTTGACCGTGTATACGGTGCCCGCGCAATTTGCCTTGGGCAGCTGCACCCAAGAAATATAAAATTCCTCGTTCTAAAGGAAGATTGTGAGCAATTTTTAATTTTTTATGCACACTTAATACGGTGGAAATCTTAAATTATCTCTTGTTTAACAAGAACAACAAATATTGTTTTGCCTGGGTCTACAGTTTCGTGTTGGAACAAGTTTTGCTGTAATAATTTCAATAATTTGTAGAATAGCATTTGTCACTATCAGTCAGAGTTAGCTGAAGGGAGGGGCTAAATTTTTTTAATACTGTACCTTTAAAGAGTGAAAAAAAGACACGATTTTGATGACTAGTGAATTGATAACCTCAACTGTATGGGTTTCTATATAACATATCATAACGTAATACCCAAGAACCACTTGACTATTAAAGCCACCAGTAAATTTTGTTGAAACCAAGCTTAAATGAATATTTTGTTCTTTCATTCCATAAACTGTCAAAGAAATTATTTATATTAAAAGGAAAAAGATTTTTTATGGCAATTGTGCCTAAAAACAATTAATGTGTGAGTGTGGCTGCAGCCTGTGGTCATCTTTGCCAGAGACAAAGAAACAACTGGAAATAAATCTGCATTCACAAGCTAGTGCATCTGTACGTATGTACACACACGCACTTTATTGTTTTTACCATGAATTTACAAAATTTGGCATGCCTACAGCAAGCAGTGGCCAATCTGGGCGGGTCATGCAAATTACAAGGAGTCAGGGAGAAACATACTGTATCTTGTTTGTCTTTCTCTTTCTCTAGAAATATTGGGGCTCAAGTATGTCATATACAGAAATCAAATAAGGTAAATGTAAATGTAGTTTTAGAGCTAGAAAAAAACCAAGAATCCAGATGGAGTTCTGGTGATTTAGTTACTGTGTGGCATTAAATTTTTCCAAGAGTTTGTAATTTACAAATGGATAGTTTGTTTGTGTTGTGCAGGTAGTTACTTTTTGTAATTGGCAAGATTGGCTTTTCTTGCTGGGAATGAGTTTTGTCAGAAAAGTACTATAAATCCTCTATTGAGCCCCAAAAGAGACAGGGGGCTTATTAAAGAAGAGTGGGCTTATTTAATTTAGAAGAGACGATGGTATCAGTTCTCCATAAAGAACTAGAATACAAAGGGGAAAATAAAGCTCAAGTACAAGAACATTGGAGGTCTTGCAGCCGAGGATCAGAATCAAGTCCAAACTTCCAGTTGGTAATTTAACAAACCATCCCTGATCAGTCCACACAAAGTTTTACTGTCTTATTGATCAATACAGTCNGGGGAAAATAAAGCTCAAGTACAAGAACATTGGAGGTCTTGCAGCCGAGGATCAGAATCAAGTCCAAACTTCCAGTTGGTAATTTAACAAACCATCCCTGATCAGTCCACACAAAGTTTTACTGTCTTATTGATCAATACAGTCCATCAATAGTGAAGAATAGTTAAAGGAGGAGAGGAGGGTTTATTAACTTTCTTCCCTCGAAAAGGGGAGGCCTACTAGAATAGAGGGAGGGAGCTTATTTGAGAGGGGGGCCTAATAGAGGAATCACGGTATTTAAAACATTTGTTAAGCAAGTATGTGATCAACATACCAGGGAAACAACATCAAAGTGTGAAATATGTCACACGTAAAAATTACTGTGAGCAGTAGTGTCTGAATTGTTGATTGCTCTGATTTTTATGGGTTTTCCACTGTGTCAAGCAGAGTTCAATTTCACATAGTCAAAATTGTCTTTAGCTGTTTTCAAACCTACAGTGATACTATTATTCACAAATTTTCTAACTGAATATTTTTTTGCGGTTAAAGGTATAATTAACAGTTTTTCAGTGAGGCTGAGTATGACAGCCCCAAAGATCAGCATACATTATTCTTCACATCACACAGAAGCTGAATTCAAAAATTGTTGTATCATCCATTCAAAATTTTTCTAAGTTCCTAACAAACTTACTTCCTTGTAGACGTTCTTCAAAACTGTGGCCTATCTCTTGGCATAAAAAGTAATTAACATCCATTGAGCAATATGTCTTGCATTTCTTCTGTGCAGTTTTAGTCAGAAATTTAGCTATTTCGTCTTTGGATAGCCATGAACGCCATTTTTAAGTTCACCATTACCATCAATCAATCTCACTTCCTGGCAAGTAAACCATCGAATCAATTGATCATGAAAAATTAGCCAGAGGATTGGAGCCAATAAGAAAAGGCAAAATATTTTGAACAAATAACAACATTAGATGTCATATCACCTCTAAATGTTTCTTCCTTTCACATTAAATATTAGAGTTTATTGACAGTATTCTGTGTGTTGTTATTTTGTCATGTAGGTTTTAGCATGTCAGGAAAAGAGGACAGCAACAATCCACTACCTTTTAACATGGACAGTTCTATGAATCCAGCAGGAATGTTTGGTTTTATACCCATGCCTGTCCCAGTGTTTACTCCTCCAGTGATGCCTGTAAGAATGATGCCACCATTCTGGCCTCCAAACAGTGGCTCTTTTATGCAGCAATACATGGAAGCTATGAGCTCAGGAATGGCACAGGTGATACACCAATCCAGTGTAACTCGAAATGAGTCATCAACTAGAGCAATGTCAAAAGGGGATACTACTTCTGTGCATGTGGCTGCACCAGTTAGTACGACTACTGTAGAGAATGTAAGCAGTGAAAGTGCACAGAATTCCCTAGCAGGTCCCAGCAAAAGAACCATTGCTGAACAGCCACAGTTTCCTCACCCCATGTTGTATCCCACGTTTGGTGGATTTGTGCCATTTGCACCATACTTTCCCTATTTTAACATGCCAGGGAATGGATTTGCCAACAAACAAAGCAAAGATTCTGAAAGCCAATCCACACAATCCCAACAGATTAAGGACGTCCAAGGTAATGATGAGTTCGAAAAAAAGAACACCAAAGAACAGCAACCACTATCTGAATATGGAACAAAGCGAGAGGACATTTTAGAAAGAAAGCCAGTTGTGAAGTCTTCTGAAATGCCTCCAACGGACAGTAACAAACAGGAAATCAGTGAGGAAAACTCTACAGAAATGGATGTTGCTCAAATTCTCATCAATTTTATGCCTGTGCCCATTATTGGTGGTGTTAAACAGGACAAAACACATTATCCTGAGAAAAATACTGATGTTTCTGCCAAAGAGAAAGAAAATCAAACAAATGAAAATGTTCTTGGTTCTACTCCTACAAATGTAAGTAAAGAAAGCCATGTTGCAGTTGTCCAAACATCTTCGTTTGACAATGCTAAACCTGAGAAAGTCAATTCAGTACCATATGTAGCTACTTCAAGCAGCAAGTTAGCCACAGCAAAGGATACCTGTGGAAGTGCTTCTCTCATTATGAAAAATGCTACTCCAGAGGGAGTGGAAGAAAGTTCCAAAACACCGTCAAGTGTAAAGATGCCAGAAATACAATCATGTAACAATAATTACCTCCTAAATGGTAATTCTGCAGTGTGTGAACGTTTCACACAAAAACCTGATGTTGAACCGAGTGACTCCGTGTCTTCCAACTCTGTTATACTTCTGGTTTCTTCAAACAATAATTATGCTAATATAACACAGGCTACCCAACCAAGTACAGAAACATACATGTACATCAAGAACAAGTCTCAGAAGGATATCCATGTAAAAGAAGATAAAGTAGTCGAGGTCATAGAAACATCTTCCGAATCACAGGAGTATGAACAGAGAACTGTTTTAAATGATCAAAATGTGATTCCCACAGTTGATGATCTTCTCAAGGGAGATTTAGGAAGTGACAAGTCGGTGTACAAATGTGAAGTGTGTGCGCAGCTGTTTAGGAGTTCCCTTGGTCTTCAGAAACATCTAGAATTCCACATGGATGATGGACAGCATTATACCTGTACAATTTGTTTTCAGCCATTCAGAGAAGCAAAAAGCCTTGATGACCACATTGCCCTTCATATGAGGAACCGACCACACAAATGTACTTTTTGCCCCAAGGCTTTCCGAGATCCTGGCTCTCTTCAAAAGCATGTCCGTGTTCACACTGGTGAAAAGCCATACAAGTGCACAAGTTGTTATCAATCGTTTGCTGAGTACAGCTCTTTAAGAAAACACCTACGTGTACACACTGGTGAACAGCCATATCGCTGCCAGTATTGTGACAAAGCATTTTCAATCTCTGGAAATCTTCAAAGACACGTGCTTATACATACAGGTGAAAGGCCTTACAAGTGCAGCTTTTGCCCAAAAGCTTTCAATAATCCTAGTCACCTGAGAAGACATGTTAAAAATTTACATTTTAAGGGTGAAGCAACCACTGGTGTTGTTGAAGATATGATATCAGCTATCCACGGTGAAGCTACTGCTCAAGTTAAAACCTCTTTAAGAGTTGATCATGAGGTGGAAACAGAGGGACAAAGAATGGAAATTTCTCAGGAGGAGGAATCAGTCATGGTAAAGTAACTCTTTTGATCCTAAACATTGTGGACCATTTCAGATCTGCGGNGAACAGCCATATCGCTGCCAGTATTGTGACAAAGCATTTTCAATCTCTGGAAATCTTCAAAGACACGTGCTTATACATACAGGTGAAAGGCCTTACAAGTGCAGCTTTTGCCCAAAAGCTTTCAATAATCCTAGTCACCTGAGAAGACATGTTAAAAATTTACATTTTAAGGGTGAAGCAACCACTGGTGTTGTTGAAGATATGATATCAGCTATCCACGGTGAAGCTACTGCTCAAGTTAAAACCTCTTTAAGAGTTGATCATGAGGTGGAAACAGAGGGACAAAGAATGGAAATTTCTCAGGAGGAGGAATCAGTCATGGTAAAGTAACTCTTTTGATCCTAAACATTGTGGACCATTTCAGATCTGCGGTTTAGACAAGGCTCCAGCCAGACTGCAAAAAGAAATAATTCTTGAATTCAAGTACTGCATTTGTATGTGTAATCAAAGGGTGACGAGTGAAATTTGGGAATAATTTCACGCGCATTTTGTCCAAGTCCTTATTATTAGGAATTGGACAAAACGCAAGTGAAATTATTCCCTAATTTCATGAGTATACCATTTGATTACCTATTAATATCATGGGTGACGAATTAGGTTAGCAATCTTGGATTTTGACATGTTTATCCTGGATCGTATCGATCAAGAACTTCTGCACTCTCTCGAACGTTTAGAGCTTAAATTTGGCTTAAGTTCAGAGTTTTTCGACAAAATACCTGTTAGAATCGTTCTTGATGTGCTCTTTCATGTGTTCAGGTTTTCTAAAGCGTCTTTTTTGCCCTGACATCTTCATTCATGACATTTTAAAACTTCGTTGCCATCTTGACACCGAGACGTACGGAATGTTGCCATGGCAATTTTGTAATTTCACATGTGAAATTACAAATTAACACTGAAATTGCACGCCAAAATTAAGGAGTAATTCATCACCTATGATATTAACAAAATAACTATACAGGTGAAAGCACCTCTCTCCTCCACAGAGTTTCAAAGAGGCTTTTCTTTTCCGAAGTTTCGGTTGTCGGCAGTTCACATTTTCACTCACTTTAAACAGCCCTCCCCTTCTTGTGTAGCCTGCATGGCAGGCACCTGCTACACAGGGTACTTTTGTGGTGGAAAGGGGCTGTGTCACAGCAGGCTAGTTTATTTTCTTTATAGTGCCAATTACACCTCCTTATTCACCACCCAGCTTGTGAGAAATTACTTGTGAATGATGAAATTGCACAGCTTTTCTCAAACAAAATGTCTCCCAAACATTATTTCAAATGCTACAAACAACAAAATGATGCTAAAAGGGGCCAAAGTGATTGCAGCAAGAGCACAACCTCCCGGCAAAGACAATGTTCAATAAATTTCTAATTAACAATGTTTATTAAAGAAAATATATTTAAGTAACAAAGCGCAAAGTACCATTTGACACATGTTTACAAAAGAAAAAATTCCCGGACAGAATGGGAGGCTGGCCACCCCCAAATCCGCCCTTGCTTGCGGTTTCCACTGTTGACACAGGTCCTTTGAATAACATCCCATCAAACCTCTATGTAGGAAAGAGCTAGGAGATTAAGTACACCTCACAAGCTTTCAATTAATTTGAGTTATCTCATTTAAAGATCTTAAACTCAAATTCAAATGCTACAACCACCTCACATTTTGGACCAGTATGTGTGTCAGGACGACAAGTAAATTATTGGTGCAACATTACATATCCTGTAAATAACTGGAAATTACCTTGACTGATTGTATCCTTAAATTACATTATAATAAAGCCATGAGCTACAGATCATACACTGGGGGTTAAAAGAAAATCAGAATCGTTGTCAATGAGTGAAATAGCCCTGGGGGTTTACATAGGACTCTGTCATAAAACTGATATGGGTGTTTGCCATCAATTTGGGGGATCAAATTAATTTTATGGGTAGGTACTGTTTAGGGTGCTAAATTCCAAAATCAATGTTCTCTGCAAAGTCCTGCAATAAGTGCGAGGCTGTGAAGTGTAGAACATACCCATAAAATTCCGAAACTAAGCCACTGGGCTTATATTTTTCAAATGCCCTTTTAGGGGACTTGTATATGGAGGGAAATTTGTGTTTCAAAATCGGCTAGGCTAATACTGGGAGGGAAATTTATGTTGCAAAATCTATTGGGCTAGCTTATGGTTGGAAGGAAATTTATGTCAGTAATGTTTTTACTGAAACTTGCCTTGAGGACATAGATCTTACTAAAACTCAGCTATGCAAGTACCGCAAACAGTGACATACTGTGACACTTTTTGAGTGCTATCATTTGGCACACGTAAAAGTTCTTTGCCAAATGCAAGAATTTACATGTTACTGTACAATTTTTGCTTTGCTTTATTTCCAATTTGAGGGTAATTTCCAAGGATAAGCCCCAGGGGCTTACATTTAGAGGGGCGATTTAATGGAGGGTTTTTGGGGTTACAAGTTTGGAGGACAAATATTTGGAGCGCCTTCTACATGGAGGGGCTATGGCAATGAAAAATTCCAAAATCGTAATTCAAAAGAGGGGTTGTGGTCACTTACAAAGGTGGTTGCTTACAAGAGGTTTCAACAGTAGTGATTTCAATGGGAAAATTTTGGTGGTCACTCATGGAAGGTGTCACACGTGGACGTTCCACCATAATTATTTAACTTAAAAATTTGGGTTAAAATCTACACGAGGCATGTTCCTCATCCAGCCATGGCCCTAAAAAAAGGGAAATGATTCCTAGAAAATAACAATATTACTTTCACGATATTATTAGTGTCAGGAACTTTTTAAAATGATTTCAAAAGTATTGTGGTGATCAAAGTCTCTTGTTTGGGCATTTCTTCCATTTCAGAGTATACAAGATTCTAAAAACTGAGATTTTACCATTAGCCACCTGTAAACACGTGCTATGAAAGCTTAAGTTGCAATTCCAACCACTTAAAATTTATGGACAAACTTTATTTTCAACAGCACATCACTAGAGTACAGTATCACATTAATATTGTCTTATCTCCCTCTAGAAACTAATGTTTATTTCAGCACGGCATTTAAATAATTTGGGGCTGGTTGTAACACCTGCAACCTTTCAAAAACCAAATAAAGATGCTGAAATTTTAGGTAACTGGATAAAAATTAAGCACTACTAAGAGAAAATCCAGTGAAAGGATTCACAGGGTCCAGACATTCCCTAAAAGCTCTTATCAGAAAAAATATCTTTTAAGTAGTATTATTTATTGACTAATACATCTATGTTGATTGTTACCACTGAGGGGAAATAGCATACAAAGATTTACATTGTGCTCTAAAAGTCTGGACCCAATGTCTAGTAATAATAATTCTTGCACCTACCCCTGACTATCATTTGTTTGTTAATTTATAGTTAAAGAAACACTGTAACAAGATATGGACAAACTGTTATGTGTTTGCAAAAAATGACGTGTTTTGTGCAGTTAAGTACTTATAAGAGTCAGAGATGCCATTAAGACCTGTAACCCGTAAGACCTGTACGGCTGAGCTCACTTGATGTTACAGGTCATCAAAGTACAATGCTAAGGTGGTACTATAAATTTTTGTGAGATATTACGGGTGAATCTCCATTTGCAAGGCTGCTTCCCCTGAGAGTAATGAGACTGTTTAAGGATATACTTCACTGAAATAAAAAGAAAGGAAGGCTCAAAACTCGAAAATGTGAGGACAAAGTGCTCCATCATAATTTCTTACTAGGATGTGACAGTGTTCCTCTAACTAAAGTGCCTCTAAAGTGAATCAAAACTTCTTAAAAATATTGATAGACTGAATGGCAAAGCCAGAAAACATAACATTGAAAGAGTCAAAATTCATATGTTCATTTCAATAAATATATTCTGCTTAAGGCTAACCAGTAAATAAACAATTCCAACAATAATTTTAAAAATATGAATTCAATAAATTTTGTTTTCAAATTTCTCCCAGTTCTCTTCCAAATACGTAACGAATTTATCAACTAACACTTTAATGTTTACAATTCCAAAATTAAAGGGGCTCTACTTTTAAACTAATTTGCAATATAATACAGTCAATATTCGGAATATTCCAGTATTTCATTACACTGCTATTGTGTCTGCAGCTCAGGAGCAAGGCTCCTAGTATGGTTAATGCCAGACACAGATATTCCCGCCTGATGGCAGCTGAGGTAGAATAATGCCTTTCGAGCACCATACGCCACTATAAAACTACCTCTAACAGAATCTGGCATAATCACAAAAAATAATACTTTCATAAATTGGAAATTCCATCGAAGTTGAGTAATTCCTCTGATATAATTGGAGCTCCAACTTGAGCCAGAAAAAACTATTCACACCTTTCAAACATGTTATCAGCTTCTAAACTGCTATGATTTAGTCAGTATAAAACCTGGACTATAGACTATAAGCTGGATAAATGTATGGACTGCAGACTGGGCACAAAATGTGAACTTTGGACTATGTTTTAGAAACCTTAGTATGTAATTAACATAAAACATGAGATTACACATTGCAGAATCTGAAGACCTATGTTATTGCATTCAGTTATTTGTGGCCTTTTCCCTATGAATTGATTACAGTATTTCTATTCACCAAGTTCCCCACTACTGACTGTGTCTTACTTGTTATTCCTTGTCTATTGCTTTAACAGCCAGTCCATAGTCCGCAGTTCATGAGTTATGCTGTTCTGCATCATTATCTAAAAATAACTCTATTTTATACGTACGGAAGGTTGCCATGGCAATTTTGTAATTTCACATGTGAAATTACAAATTAACGCTGAAATTTCGCGCCAAAATTAAGGAGTAATTCGTCACCTATGATATTAACAAACTATACGGGAGAAAGCACCTCTCTCCTCCACAGAGTTTCAAAGGGGCTTTTCATTTTAGGAGTTTCTGTTGTCAGCAGTTCACATTTTCACTCACTTTAAACAACCCTCCCCTTCTTGTGTAGCCTGCATGGCAGGGACCTGCTACACAGGGTACTTTTGTGGTGGAAAGGGGCTGTGTCACAGCAGGCTAGTTCATTTTCTTTATAGTGCCAATTACACCTCCTTATTCACCACCGAGCTTGTGAGAAATTACTTGTGAATGATGAAATTGCACAACTTTTCTCAAACAAAATGTCTCCCAAACATTATTTCAAATGCTACAAACAACAAAATGATGCTAACAGGGGCCAAAGCGATTGCAGCAAGAGCACAACCTCCCGGCAAAGACAATGTTCAATAAATTTCTAATTAACAATGTTTATTAAAGAAAATATATTTAAGTAACAAAGCTCAAAGTACTGTTTGACACACGTTTACAAAAGAAAAAAATTCCCAGACAGAAGGGGAGGCTGGCCACCCCCAAATCCGCCCTCGCTTGTGGTTCCCACTGTTGACACAGCTCCTTTAAATAACATCTCATCAAACCTCTATGTAGGAGAGAGCTAGGAGATTAAGTACACCTCACAAGCTTTCATTAATTTTAATTTGAGTTATCTCATTTAAAGATCTTAAACTCAAATTCAAATGCTACAACCACCTCACATTTTGGACCAGTATGTGTGTCAGGAAGACATGTAAATTATTGGTGCAACATTACATATCCTGTAAATAGCTGGAAATAACCTTGACTGATTGTATCCTTAAATTACATAATTATAATAAAGCCATGAGCTACAGATACACTGTAGGTTAAAAGAAAATCAGAATCGTTGTCAATGAGTGAAATAGCCCTGGGGGTTTACATAGGACTCTGTCATAAAACTGATATGGGTGTTTGCCATCAATTTGGGGAATCAAATTAATTTTATGGGTAGGTACTGTTTAGGGTGCTAAATTCCAAAATCAATGTTCTCTGCAAAGTCCTGCAATAAGTGCGAGGCTGTGAAGTGTGGAACATACCGTAAAATTCCGAAACTAAGCCCTTGGGCCTATATTTTTCAAACGCTCTTTTTAAGGGACTTATATATGGAGGGAAATTTGTGTTTCAAAATCGGCTAGGCTAATACTGGGAGGGAAATTTATGTTGCAAAATCCATTGGGCTAGCTTATAGTTGGAAGGAAATTTATGTCAGTAATGTTTTTACTGAAACTTGCCTTGAGGACATAGATCTTACTAAAACTCAGCTATGCAAGTACCGCAAACAGTGATATACTGTGACACTTTTTGAGTGCTATCATTTGGCACACGTAAAAGTTCTTTGCCAAATGCAAGAATTTATATGTTACTGTACAGTTTTTGCTTTGCTTTATTTCCAGTTTGAGGGTAATTTCCAAGGACAAGCCCCAGGGGCTTACATTTAGAGTGGCGATTTAATGGAGGGTTTTTGGGGTTACAAGTTTGGAGGACAAATATTTGGAGCGCCTTCTACATGGAGGGGCTATGGCAATGAAAAATTCCAAAATCGTAATTCAAAAGAGGGGTTGTGGTCACTTACAAAGGTGGTTGCTTACAAGAGGTTTCAACAGTAGTGATTTCAATGGGAAAATTTTGGTGGTCACTCATGGAAGGTGTCACACGTGGACGTTCCACCATAATTATTTAAATTAAAAATTTGGGTTAAAATCTACACGAGGCATGTTCCTCATCCAGCCATGGCCCTAAAAAAAGGGAAATGATTCCTAGAAAATAACAATATTACTTTCACGATATTATTAGTGTCAGGAACTTTTAAAATGATTTCAAAAGTATTGTGGTGATCAAAGTCTCCTGTTTGGGCATTTCTTCCATTTCAGAGTGTACAAGATTCTAAAAACTGAGATTTTACCATTAGCCACCTCTAAACACCTGCTATGAAAGCTTAAGTTGCAATCCCAGCCACTTAAAATTTAAGGACAAACTTTATTTTCAACAGCACATCACTAGAGTACAGTATAACATTAATATCTTGTCTTATCTCCCTCTGGAAACTAATGTTCATTTCAGCACAGCATTTAAATAATTTGGGGCTGGTTTTAACACCTACAACCTTTCAAAAACCAAATAAAGAGGCTGAAATTTTTAGGTAACTGGATAAAAATTAAGCACTACTAACAGAAAATCCAGTGAAAGGATTCACAGGGTCCAGACTTTCCCTAAAAAAACCTATCAATTATTTATTGACTAATACATCTATGTTGATTGCTACGACTGAAGGGACATAGCATACAAAGATTTACATTGTGCGCTAAAGTCTGGACCCAATGTCTAGTAATAATTCTTGGACCTACCCCTGACTACCATTTGTTTGTTAATTTATAGTTAAAGCAACACTGACACAAGATATGGACAAACTGTTATGTGTTGGCAAAAAATGGCGTTTTTGTACAGTTAAGTACTTACAAGAGTCAGAGCTGTCATTAAGAGCCGTAATCCGTAACACCTGTGTGGCTGAGCTTACTTGATGTTACAGGTCATCAAAGTACAATGCTGAGGTGGCGCTAAAATTTTTTGTGAGATATTACAGGTGAATCTCCATTTGCAAGGTTGCTTCAGAACTTAATGAGATCCCTGAGAGTAATGAGACTGTTTAAGGATATACTTTGCTGAAATAAAAAGAAAGGAAGGCTCGAAACTCGAAAATGTGAGGACAAAGCGCTCCATCATAATTCTTACTAGAATGTGACAGTGTTCCTCTAACTAAAGTGCCTCTAAAGTGAATCAAAACTTCTTAAAAATATTGATAGACTGTATGGCAAAGCCAGAAAACATAACATTGAAAGAGTTAAAATTCATATGTTCATTTCAATAAATATATTCTGCTTAAGGCTAACCAGTAAATAAACAATTCCAACAATAATTTTAAAAATATGAATTCAATAAATTTTGTTCTAAAATTTCTCCCAGTTCTCTTCCAAATATGTAACGAATTTATTAACTAACACTTTAATGTTTACAATTCCAAAATTAAAGGGGCTCTACTGTTAAACTAATTTTCAATATAATACAGTCAATATTCGGAAAATTCCAGTATTTCATTACACTGCTATTGTGTCTGCAGCTCAGAAGCAAGGCTCCTAGTATGGTTAATGCCAGACACAGACATTCCTGCCTGATGGCAGCTGAGGTAGAATAATGCCTTTCGAGCACCATACGCCACTATAAAACTACCTCCAACAGAATCTGGCATAATCACAAAAAATAATACTTTTATAAATTGGAAATTCCATCGAAGTTGAGTAATTCCTCTGATATAATTGGAGCTCCAACTTGAGCCAGAAAAACTATTCACACCTTTCAAACATGTTATCAGCCTCTAAACTGCTATGATTTAGTCAGTATAAAACCTGGACTATAGACTATAGGCTGGATAAACGTATGGACTGCAGACTGGGCACAAAATGTGAACTTTGGACTATGTTTTAGAAACCTTAGTATGTAATTAACATAAAACATGAGGTTACACATTGCAGAATCTGAAGAACTATGTTATTGCATTCAGTTATTTGTGGTCTTTTCCCTATGAATTGATTACGGTATTTCTGTTCACCAAGTTCCCCACTACTGACTGTGTCTTACTTGTTATTCCTTGTCTATTGCTTTAACAGCCAGTCCATAGTCCGCAGTTCATGAGTTATGCTGTTCTGCATCATTATCTAAAAATAACTCTATTTTACATTTATTTTGGTAGGTTTTCAACAGTTGTGCAAGTAATATTATTTTCCACCTTTCAAGTTTTTATAAACACTTTGCGTACCACACAACATCAAAATGGCCTCGACAGTATTCCAGCCATTCCATCAAAATTATTATAATAATTTATAAAATAACTAAGATAGTACGTGCTCTCTGATTGGCTGAGAGGTGTGTTTGCATGAGAGTATGTAAACATGGTTGTGATGTCAAGATGTCTTGCTTTTCGTGCCCTAATCACGCAAGCACGAATTTGAAAAAGTTTGAGTTGAAAAACTTGTCAAGTTTACTTTATTTACCCATTTCCTCGTCGGCTGAAACTTGGAAAATCTTTAGAAACATGCAGTGTCAACTTTTTTTCACTTGAGCTGACAATTTGAGGGAGAAAAACCCGTATTTTGGAAAGCATCTTTTCTGCAAAACAAGGACTTGATTACGCATTCAAATCTTTGTGTACAAGACTTTGTGACTGGTAAGAATTTCTCTTTTAATCAGTCCCTTGAACAAGAGAGTTTTGCTTTTTTTCTTTGGAAAGTTATTTTATNTTCACCAAGTTCCCCACTACTGACTGTGTCTTACTTGTTATTCCTTGTCTATTGCTTTAACAGCCAGTCCATAGTCCGCAGTTCATGAGTTATGCTGTTCTGCATCATTATCTAAAAATAACTCTATTTTACATTTATTTTGGTAGGTTTTCAACAGTTGTGCAAGTAATATTATTTTCCACCTTTCAAGTTTTTATAAACACTTTGCGTACCACACAACATCAAAATGGCCTCGACAGTATTCCAGCCATTCCATCAAAATTATTATAATAATTTATAAAATAACTAAGATAGTACGTGCTCTCTGATTGGCTGAGAGGTGTGTTTGCATGAGAGTATGTAAACATGGTTGTGATGTCAAGATGTCTTGCTTTTCGTGCCCTAATCACGCAAGCACGAATTTGAAAAAGTTTGAGTTGAAAAACTTGTCAAGTTTACTTTATTTACCCATTTCCTCGTCGGCTGAAACTTGGAAAATCTTTAGAAACATGCAGTGTCAACTTTTTTTCACTTGAGCTGACAATTTGAGGGAGAAAAACCCGTATTTTGGAAAGCATCTTTTCTGCAAAACAAGGACTTGATTACGCATTCAAATCTTTGTGTACAAGACTTTGTGACTGGTAAGAATTTCTCTTTTAATCAGTCCCTTGAACAAGAGAGTTTTGCTTTTTTTCTTTGGAAAGTTATTTTATAAAAGCAATAGAAAAATTTTTTCCTGTGTTTGCATATCCTGATATAAACACTCGAGGGGCTGGGAAAATTCTCGATAGTTATGCAAACCCTTGACTTCGTCTCGGATTTGCATAACTGTCTAGAATTCTCCCAACCCCTCTCATGTTTATATTAGGCTACGCAAACACGAAAAGCCTTTTCTATTGCTTAAATAGTACTCTTTATGTAAATATATAAAAAAAATGCCTATTAACAATAAACTAATCATTCATCATTCTAGTATACTACCAGGCCCAGTTGTTCAAAAGCCGATTAGCGCTTAACCCGGGGTTCAATTTAACTCTGGTTTCTTTTTCTTGTGTTCAAAAGCATTTTCTCGGATAATTTCCTCTGTCATTTTAAGAGCTTCCAATCATCAACTTGTAGACAAAAGAATTAAAACTGAAATGCTTTTTAAGCTTTCAAATCTTAATTCAAATCTTGCACTAACCCCGGGTTATCTTAACCCCGCTTTGAACAACTCAGCCCTGGAAAGGCCTTGAAAAACAATTAACTTCCCATGAAAAAATTCATGTTAAAACAACTTCAAAACCGACAATAAATTAATAATCATTGCCATCAAAAGGATGTAGTTGACAGCTGTCCTTAACGAGGTAATTTCAAAAAGTATACTACTGGTCAAGTACACTGACTGGGAAAAATAAATCCTTACTACTCAGAATTAATTGAGAGGCTAAGGATTACAATATTATACCGAGTGAAAAGGTAACTAACCAGTAGAGTTTTAACCAATTGCATTAATTCCATCCCAAATTAGAGGAGAAATACACTGGGCTTTCAAGGCTGTTTCCTTTAGCTGTTCGATGATTTCCAAATTAGCTTCATAGAAAGTCTTGGACCTGTAAGGCACATTGTGTTTTTTACAGAGTGCTTGGATCTTGGCTTTTGCTTCTCGCAGCCTGTGACGTGGAAGTCTTGGAAAGAGATGATGCTCAATTTGGAATTGAAGCCCACCATGGATAAAATCAAGCCACGGATGGCATTCAATATCCATTGTTGTCGCCAGTTGTGAGAGAAGGAACTCGCTGCCCTTGAATGCATCCATGGGGTGTCCGTGATAAGTTTTCATGGAGAAGTGACTCAGAGTTATCTGAATGTGAAGAACTCCAGCGAGAAAATGTGCAACAAAAACAAAAATAAACATTGATGTCCAACATGGTAAAAAGGAACACAGGTAAATATACCATGTCCAAAAAAATGCCAAGCCAAGACATTCAAGATATTTGGCCCGTCCATTTGGTAATGAAAACACCAAGAGAAAACTTTGCACATACAAGTTGTAACGAGCTAGACCCATGATCAAGTAGTACAGCCAATGTTGGTTGGAGACAAAAAACTTGGCCAGTCCATTGAAGGTAAGGGTTTTCTCGTGATACATTGACCTGACTGACTTGAAGAACTTGTCAGTGATGGCCAATACCGGCAAGTGTTGGATATCGGGATCAAACTCCACTGAGTTTGTCACAATGTGGTGAGCATTGTGACTCTTCTTCCACCATCCAATGCTGATTCCAGTTGTCATGTTCCCAGCAAATATGCCGATCAACTGGTCCATTTTAAAATCATGAGTGATGGCTGTGTGGCCAGTGTCATGTCCAATAAATGCCATTTGTTGCCAAAATAAAGCCATGGTTATGGATGATGCCACTTGTATGTACACATTATTGCTAAATACCACTCCATACAGTACTGCTGCAAAAATTATGCACAAGCTGATGGAGTGCTTGACATAGAACCAATCTATTTGCAATAAAACAGAAATAATTTTTTAAACTTATATTGTTGTAATGTTTCAATATTTATTAATTCAAAATATCAACGTCCCCAGACAGCCCCCTTTCAAAACAAGCCTGTTCAAATTCCTGTTACATTAGCCCAATGTAGTGGTCAAATGCCCCTCCCAGAGAAGAACTGTTTTGTAGATTGCGAATTCAAAACATAGAGTTTAGGGAATCCACATGACACTTGATTTGCACTACATTAATACCTTCAAGAACGCTTACATGTATGTTTTAAAGTCCTTGCCAAACAAGCAATTTGTTAACAAAAGCTGTTTCTTTACCTTCACACTTCTCTATCTCTGTTACTAAGAGAAAGATGAAAGATCACATCTATCAAACCACATTGTCAAACCTGGATCATACAAAGAAGTTAAACTTGACACGTCCCTAACGGGCCTTTCAAATTCCCCAGCCTAGCTAGGCAAAGGTCACATTCCCCACTACCTGATCACAAGGGATGGTCATCACAAATGACCAGGGTTTGCCTGAGGGGATGTTGAAGTGTAGAATGGTTGACACAAAAACTGGCTGTAGCTGCAAGGAGCTACTGAGAACAATTTAACATTTGTACCTTTTAATATTTTTGTATCATTTAAAATATGGGACCAGGGGTGTGCTATCAAGTTTTTAAATGTACACGGCATACATTGTAGCTAACCTAGTGGTTTTGGCTATTGAAATCATAAATGCAAATTGCGTTTCACTGAACACAGCAGCTTTAAAATATTTCCTGTAGATGATTTGCTTTTTTTCCAATAAATATTTACACATTAGGTTCTGGATTAATAAACCTCAGAGCATTAATTTATTACAGCACCATTAAAATCTGTGCTATATGATCATAGGACATTTATTGATAAATTTAATAATACTACACATCGATGCAGTTTTGAAGGGTCATGCTCGCTTGCACGTTAATTAGCTTGTTGACTGCAGTATTCAACACTGTCACAAAAACTTTTATTAGAAACAAAACAAAATTGTGTAGATCTGAAGCATCCTTACTGGGATCCACTCAAAAACCTTGTAATAATAACTTTGCTGTGTAGGAATCTCAACTCTAACATTATTAATTTTTTATTAATTAGAGATTTGGTTTTTATAAGTAATTCTATTACACTGGCATTAACAAAAGAGATTCTCTTACAAAAAAGGAAATAAAGAAATAAACAACCAAAACCCTTAAAAGCGTTATTAATTTCCTAAAATAGTATCCCTTTAGTCTTCATGACTGCTTTTTCAGAAAAATTATTTTATTTTTCTGAATTTCTGTGAGGTCATAAAAATTTTACCGCATGAAATCAATCCTGCAGACGAAATATTGCCTTTGTTACTTTTTTTAATTATTTACTTATTTATAGTTTGGTCAAAAGAGAATTCTAGAAAATTGATTATTTATATTCTTTGACAACCTAGCATACAGAAGGTAAACAGAAATTTTTTGGGCTTCAACACTTTACACAATGCTTTTGGTTTTCACACCAGATAAATCCCCAGTTATCTAACACTAACAAATTACCAACTGTGTTTTCTTCCACAGTGAAAACTTCGAATTTTTTTTAAGAACTGAAATTTGCTAAATGCATTCTGAATGTGAATCTACTGATAGAGTATATCCAGCATAGCTCATTGTTCTTGGACCTTTTAATTTAGTAAAATGCAAGCAGTAAATAATAACATAAAAATCCTGATTTTTAAGTTTAAGAATCCTCAAAAAACATTCACTTCAACCAAGCAATAATAACTTGACCGAAAAGAGAGATATGCAAATTTGTTTTCTTCCAGTTTCACTATTTGACCAGCTAAAAATAAATCTTAGCACTGAGGTCGTTGTCTTTTATGAAGCCGTTATAAAAGACTTTTCCACCAAAAAAATAATACCCAAAGCCGGCGAATAGTCATTTCTCATGATTAAATTATGGGAAAACCATTGCCAAAATGACAGAAAAACAAAGGCAAGACTTGAATTTTAAGCACAATAACATTTAAAAATCCCCCAGCAAACTCCAAAAAAAATCCTTGGCGTTTAGATAAACTCATGTCTATTGCGAATGCCATAAGTTCAACAACCTTGTCTGCGGATTTTTTTTTTTTTTTTTGACAAGACAGACAGTTGATTGAATATAAAAACAACAAACTTAAGCTGGGTGAGGTTAACTGTCTGCATATCGAGTAAGAAAGCTACGAGGGTTTTTTTGTTTCTAACATATTCAGAGAAACTGAAACGGACATACAACCACTCCCACAGAAAATTAAGATTCAACGTTTTATCAAAGAATTGGTTGACTATTACACAACTTTTTGATTAAATATCTATTCAGCCATGACCAAAACGAAATAAAATATAAGCTAACGCTTACGTTTCAAGAAAAATGGCTGCAAAGGTTGTTAAGCATCTCGTCTGTCATAAGCTTGACTTTGAATTTCACAATTAAAATAGTGTAAGGCATGCTAGAAATATTACATAAGTTTATAAAATCACAGAGCTAAGGTTATTTGGCAGCGAGGGTGACGGAAGATTGAATGAAACAGTGAAATCCAGGACGTTCTAACCAAAAAACACAAAAAGGGAATACATTCAAACTGTCTGGAGTTCGCCTAGAGTCAAGCATGAGGGAAGAACAAAGACCGCAGTGGTAAGGCTTAGTTACAAGCAATAAAAGATCAACTTACAATCGGTGTCCAGACGTCCATCAAGTTCGTCTCGTACTTTACGAAAGTCTTGGTCTAAAGCAGACTCGTTTATAGAGGGTTTGCATTCGTCGCGTATCTCCCCAATTTTAAATGCTGGCAGCTTCTTTTCTGTGACAGAAGGGAGGTGAAAAGCTTTGAAAACATCTGTACAGTCATGGCCAGCCATGTAACGTATCGGGAGTTCTCCACCGGGATGATACGGTGCCCAGCGACTCAAGTCGTAAACGCCGCCGTCGACTATTACCCAGTAATCACCTTTACTGTTATGCTGTTTCACCTCACTGAGGCTATAATATTTCATCTGCTTCATCCTGAGAAGATAACGACGAAAAACAATTCGTCAGGGCACTCCGCAACCGGCAACCGAAAGCTTTCAATCTTTATATTCGCACGAGCTCACAGATTAAGCACAGATGGCTTGTGCCTAACTCGCTCTCTGATTGGTTTAAAACAGTCGTCCAACAGTAATCAACCAATCAGAGTTAGTAGATATCAAAATAGTCTGTCTGTGGAAAGCCATACAAGCTGTCACCGGTCTAAAGTCTATAGTAGATTTGCCCTTGGCTTCTTGTCTGACGGCTGTGAATACAAATAATGAGTATCCCCCAAACAATAACTCTTTACCGTTTCTAACAAAATTGGTAAACGTTAGGATTATTAAAATCCAGCGAAGGTTTTGGTATATCGACATAAAAAGTTGCGCCGGCTGTCTGAAGACCCACAAGTATTTGATTTACCAGCAGGTCACCGGCAGGCAAGCGTGTTTGACTGTCTGCTGTGGACCAGAAATGGGTTTTGAAATGGAAATAGCAAGTCGCGGGATCCCGAAAGTTCTGAACAACACGCTTGACCGGAAGAAGAAGAAAAAGCGTGGCCCCTTCACCAAAAAGATTAATGCTTTCAAAATGATAACACAATTTGTTGAGCTGAATGAAAGTCACTAACAAACGGCGGTGGAAATAATGAGCCGCCGAGCAGGTGACAGAATTATAGGAAGCTTAACGGTATTATCAGGCCGACCGTGCCCAAACTTACCCTGCGAGCAGTGGTTTCTCCAGGCCGGACGCTGGAGAAACCACTGCTCGCAGGGATTTGTACTGGGGGGGACGATTGTTCCGACGAATGTCAACGGATTCTTAACCTAAACATCAGTTAACACGCTTGGTCTGTGTTCCTTCATTCCTAGTGGTCCCGAGCCGATTTATGGAATCACTTTCTCTTATAAACCGAATGAATAGAGAGAAAACTGCAATATAAAAAGCCATAAAATGGCCATTAATGACATTGATCGGGGGGGACTACACTGGAAAGGGAAACTCGCCCCTCACGCGTGGTTTGCTAATTTTTATTCAAATCCTTTCATATTATTCGTAGGCTATTATTCGTTTCTTCACCAGGGACCAGGCGGGGGAGAAAGGTGGGAAAATGTCGGCCCTTTCCCCCTCC